CAAGACTCCGCCTCAAAAAAAAAAAAAAAAAATTGTAGAGACGAAGTCTCACTGTATTTCCCAGGTTGGTCTCAAACTCATGGGCTCAACTGATTCTCCTACCTTGGCCTTCCAGAGTGCTGGGATACAAGCATGAGCCACTGTTGTGGCATGATGTCATTTTCTAAAAAGTAAGTTTGTATATGCATAAAGTCAGCAAAAATATTTACACCAGATAACAATATTTACACCATTTCTGGGTAATGAATAATCACCTTCTACATTTTTTATTGTTTAGAACTTTTTTTTTTTTTTTTTACAAAAAGCATACATGGGCCTGATGCAGTGGCTCATGCCTGTAATCCCAGCACTTTGGGAGGCTGAGGTGGGCGGATCACAAGGTCAGGAGTTCAAGATCAGCCTGACCAACATGGTGAAACCCCGTCTTTACTATAAATACAAAAATTATCTGGACATGGTAGCATGCGCCTGTAATCCCAGCTACTCGGGAGGCTAAGGCAGGAGAATCGCTTGAACCTGGGAGGCAGAGGTTGTGGTGAGCCGAGATTGTGCCACTGCACTCCAGCATGGGCGACAGAGCTAGACTCCGTCTCAAAAAAAAAGAAGGAAAAAAAAGCATACAATATTCTTTTATTTTTTTTCTTGAGACAGAGTCTTCAGTGAGCTGAGATCAGGCCATTGCATTCCAGCCTGGACAACAATCTGTCTCAAAAAATAAACAAAAAATACCTTAAAACTATTATTTTTCCTTTTTGAGATGGAGTCTCGCTGTGTTGCTCAGGCTAGATAGAGTGCAGTGGTGTGATCTCAGCTCACTGCAACCTCCGCCTCCTGGGTTCAAGCGATTCTCCTGCCTCAGCTTCCCAAGTAGCTGGGATTACAGGAGCACGCCTGGGTAATTTTTGTATTTTTAGTAGAGACGGGGTTTCAGCTTGTTGGTCAGGCTGGTCTTGAACACCTGACCTCATGATCTGCCTGCCTCAGCCTCCCAAAGTGCTGGGATTATAGGCATGAGCTACCTTGCCTGGCCAATTATTCTTATTTTATGTATATATATATATTTTTTTTTTTTTTTTAGAGATGGGGTCAGGCTTTGTCGTCCAGGCTGGTTTCAAACTCCTAGCTTCAGGCGATCTCCCACTTTGGCCTTCCAAAAGTGCTGGGATTACAGGTGTGAGCCACCACATCTGGCCTTAAAATTATAAAATACATTATCAAAAGCTATACATGTTATATATATATATATATATATATATATATATATATATATGCTAATTGGGGGGGGAAAAAAACCTTCAAGCAAAGAATTTATAAAGTGAGAGGGGAAAAGTGTGTCCCTGACCCCACAAAATCCTATCCTTGGAAGTAACCACAGCCGGGCACAGTGGCTCATGCATGTAATCCAAGCACTTTGGCTAAGGTAAGCAGATGATCACTTGAGCCCAAGAGTTAATGACCAGCTAGGAGACATGATGAAACCCTATCTCTATTAAAAAAAAAAAAGAAATACAAAAATTAAGCAGGCATGGTGAAATGCACCTGTAGTTTCAGCTACTAGGGAGGCTGAGGTGCAAGGGTCACTTGAGCCTGGGATGTTGATGCTGCAGTGAGCCCTGATTGCGCCACTGCACTCCAGTAAGATTGCGTCTCCAAAAAAATAAAAAAGAAGTAGCTACTGTTAATGTTTTGGTCCTTTCAGATCTTTCTCTTCACATATACAAATATAAATGCATACATATAATTTTAAGTTTTCTCTAACGTGGGATGACATTAAGTATATTTTATATATGACTTAAATTTTTTCACTCAGTAATATATCTGTATATATCTTCTTCCACGTTAGGACGTTTATATTTACAGCACTCTTCTTAAACACTACCTACTATCTGATGTTATTGTTTGGATTGCTTTTTTAGTTAGAAGAGATGAAGCTATTTCTGTTAACATAAGGAGCCAGGTGCGGTAGCTCACACCTGTAATCCCAATGCTTTGGGAGGTCAAAACGGACGGACTGCCTGAGCTCAGGAGTTGAAGACCAGCCTAGGCAACATGGTGAAACCCTGTCTCTACTAAAATACAAAAAATTAGCTGGGCGCGGCAGCATTCACCTGTAGTCCCAGCTACTCGGGAGGCTGAGGCAGGAGAATTGCTTGAATCTGGGAGGCCTTCTGCCTCCCAGTTGCAGTGAGTCAAGATCATGCCACTGCACTCCAGCCTGGGCAAGAGAGCAAAACTCCATCTCAAAAAACAAAACAAAACAAAAAATAAATAAAAGAAGGAACTATGCGACCCATTAGTCTTGAGTGCCCCCTACTGGGGGCTCTTCACTGACATTAACAAAATGCTAAATTACAATTAATTTAAGCAAGAAGTAATTCAAACACCGGCACTATACTTTTCAGCATATGGCAAAAATCTGGAAATTCAAAGAAAAAAAGTCTGCTTTGAAATGATTTTATTGGGGAAGTTCATTATTTACTTATGATGTATTACAGGCATGTGCTAAGGTCTCTCTAATTAAGGTAACGACAAAGAAATCAAGCTAAGCAGTCTGACCTTCTTACATCTTACTCCCAGACAAGTGTGTGTTATTTGTGTTAATGGTGAGAAGCAGTTTCAGAATGGGAAGTAACGGCAAACAGGCAATTAAAAAGGAGTAAGGCAAAACTTTAAAAAAATATACATAGATAGATAGATAGATAGATAGATAGATATAGATATAGGCAGGGCGTGGTGGCTCATGCCTGTAATCCCAGCACTTTGGGAGGCCGAGGTCAGTGGATCACAAGGTCAGAAGTTGAAGATCAGCCTGGCCAAGATGGTGAAATGCCATCTCTACTAAATATACAAAAAAATTAGCTGGGCATTTTGGCAAGTGCCGGTAATTCCAGTTACTCAGGAGGCTGAGGCAGAGAACTGCTTGAACCTGGAAGGCGGAGGCTGCAGCGAGCCGAGATCACACCACTGCACTTCAGCCTGAGCAACAGAGTGAGACTCTGTCTCAAAAAAAAAAAAAAAAAAACTCTTCACTTCTGAGCCTATATTTACTTCTTTCCTCACATTTCAAATCTTCAAGAGTTATTTAGCTCTACCTCAAATCATCTAGGCTGTTTACACTATGTAATGTTTAAATCCATCTGAATCTGTGATTATATATTACATAATAATCAAAGACTCAAAGTAAAAGAAAACCAGGAATGTTGGAAGAGTTGACCTGAAAAACAAAGTTCATTTTTTTTTCTTGAGATGGAGTCTTGCTCTGTTGCCCAGGCTGGAGTGCAATGGTGCCATCTTGGCTCACTACAACCTCCGCCTCCTGGGTTCAAGCAATTCTCCTGCCTCAGCCTCCCAAGTAGCTGTGATTACAGGCATGTGCCACCATGCCCAGGTAATTTTTTGTAGTTTTAGTAGAGACGGGGTTTCACCATGTTGACCAGGATGGTCTCGATCTCTTGACCTCGTGATCCACCCGCCTCGGCCTCCCAAAGTGCTGGGATTACAGGCTTGAGCCACCGCGCCCGGCCTAGAATTTTTTAAATAGAAACCAAACCAAACAGAAACTTTACTCAAAACTGCATATCTATATTATTTATTACACAGGCAAATGCTATTTTGCTATTTCATTTTATACATTTTGACATTAACATTTTATACAGTCTTGACTTTGTTGTATAACTCTCTTCACTAGTTAATACTTACAGCTAATCTGTGATTATTTGCAAGACTGATCATTTGCTGGGCTAGGCCATTTAATAACCGAGTACGAAGAGACAGGTCATCTAGGTCATGACGAAATGGAAAAGCAATGCCATCCACGATCACCAACCGAACCTAAATACAAAAGAGATAATATTAGATTTGGTATGAAAAATATAATAAAGATGATATCCAAAAACCATAGTCCATTACATGAAAAAACCTTAAAATCTAGGGGGTTTATTTCCAACTGTCTAAAGTATGGCTTTCTTGTGGAAAGTTACAAAGCTGTTCACTCAATACTTTCTGCAATAATCACTAAAAATTAAAATGGACTCTGCTTTGATAATTTATCAACTTTAAAAAAGTAATTATTATAATTTTCTTATAACTTGCCACTGTACACAGTCTTTACTGATAAAAAGCACATTTAAAGTCCTCGTAAAACTTGTGAAAACGCTTAAAGAAAAAGTCTTGTTAAAACAACAAATTTGTCAATTAAATATACCAATTTTAACTTCAGGGTTCCTTTTATGTTTCTTTAAAAAAAAACCCTATGGGCTCATGTCTGTAATCCCAGCACTTTGGTAGGATGAGGTGGGTGGATCATGAGACAGGGAATTGAGACCAGCCTGGTCAATATGGCGAAACCCCATCTCTACTAAAAATACAAAAATTAGCCAGGTGTGGTGGTGGGCACCTGTAGTCCCAGCTACTCGGGAGACTGAGGCAGAAGAATTGCTTGAACCTGGGAGGTGGAGCTTGCAGTGGGCTGAGATCACGCCACTGACTCCAGCCTGGGTGACAGAGCAAGACTCTAAGTCAAAAAAAAGAAAGACTGTAATCCCAGCACTGTGGGAGGCCGAGGCGGGTGGATCACGAGGTCAAGAG